AGGCAGTGGTACATTTTTAAAAGATGGCTTGGACTGGTCTGTGGAGGTGCAGAGGGAATCACTGCATGGTGCCAGGCACTTGAGCAGTGCTGTTTTCTCGCATTGCAGTGAAAGCTCAGGCTGTCCCACCCGCCGTCCCCTCACCTCTCCCTCTGAGTTGCAGCGGTAGTCCTTGTGACCTCCAGTACAGAATATTTTCGGTCCAAAAAGAGCCAAGAGGCTGTCCCTCTGTGTCAGAGAGAGATGACCTGTAGCAGAGCCTTTTTAATGTACTTTTCCTTTGAGTGGTGGAGTTTCTTTGGGTACACAAGACTAGGATCCATTCAAGTTGCCAGCCTCTCCCCACGGTATTTTCTCATAGGGATTTGGTGCTGCAAGTAATGATATAGACGACCTCACCCTCGTGGTTGTTATGCTTGAAATTTGCAGGAACCTACAGATCTCATGAAGCAGCCCAGCTAGCAAGGTGCTGTTATTAGGCCCCGCAGGGCAGACGAGGCAGCGGGGTGCTGCCACCTCCCTGTCCTGCTCAACTGCCCCATGGGTGTGCGAAGTCCAGCAAGCCACCAGCTCGCTGTCCCGCTGCAGGGCCAGGGGTGTTTGCAGAGGAGCTTACACTGCCCACACCGGTGTGGGGATGACTCCCAGGCGTGCGAGTACGATTCAGGGGGGTGAAATCACGGCTGTGCCCCTGGGTGCAGCGGGAAGGCGCAGCACCCTTCCAGTCAGGGTGCTGTGCCCATGAGCAAGGTCATCCCCGCAGAAGCAGCTGCCGAGGGCCCTCTCTCGGGCCACCTGCCTTCCACCTTACTCCGCGTCCATGTCACCCAGCCTTGGCAGGGCCCAGGGAGCCACTTGCCCCCTGCATGCTGTTTGTTATGGTTATGTAGGGCCGCGCAGCCCCAACAGACAGGAGCAGCAAGGGAGCGGGTACCCTAGGAGCTCTGCATACCCAGCTCGCCTGCACCAAGAGCATGAGGGTTGGCTTCACTGCCATCTGCATCTTGGCCACCACTGTTTAATAAGAAACTTGGTCCTATACAGGCTTGTCAAGGCTTGGCGTTAGCTCCACAGGTGTGGGGAAGCACAGGGATGCGGCAGAGAGAGCTGTAGCAATTTGCAAAACTGCGTTTCGTGGACCAGAAAGGCTGTTGCATTAGAATATAAGTGCAAAATTGGTGAGGAGCTGTTACAAATGTATATGCTGGCTGATAAAACAAATGTAGGTGATTTGTCTTTGTTCTGCACCAGCTTAAATGCTTGCATCCCCTGCCATTGGCAATTTGTCTTGGTTCTTTTAAATTCCTAAGTGGATTATAATTTTTCTCGTGGTATTATTTGACAACAGTCATATTTCATGGCTTTACTGCATTCTTTGGATAGTTAGAATTTTTTTAAGGAAAGGAGCTCAGTAAGAGGCGGCCATCTCCAGGGCATGTCGTGTAATGCGGACACTGAAGACATAGCTGAAAGTGTTCTTTGTATTTTTATGTAGTTTTTATCCTCAGAAAATACAGGATTTGACCTATGATGGTTTACAGCATCTAAAGCACGTTATTACCCCAATGCTGGGTGCAAATCCCTTAAATGCTGTAGCATGAGTAAATTCCTTAGCATCTAATGTACTTCAATGACTCTGGAATACTCAGTCTAAAAGAACAGTGAATTCTCAATATAATGAGGATGTTTTTACGCTTTTCAGACACTAATGGGCTCAAAAATATAGGCATAAAACTTAGCTTTTTTGCTTTTATCTATGCATAAATTCCTGTCATCGAGTATGTTTGTATAAAAATGATAGGGATCATTTCAGTATCCATTTACCCCGCTCCTAATATTATATTATCGTTTGTTAGTTCGTAGAAATATGCCATATCTAATTAGGTTAGTAATGATTGTACTTAGCATAGGAATTGCAGCAACATAAGGAGAAAATAATCACACATTGCAATATCAAAATAAACATTTCTGTCCTAAGAATGTTGTCAGGTGATGTCATACCATCTGTCCTACCGTACCCGCTCGGAAATTTTGCTGCAGCAGCATCTGGTACTTTGGCGAGCTCCGCAGACAACTGTGGTAGCTTTACAGCTGCCTTTAACTTTGCTTTTATATTTAAACAGTATTAAGACTTCATGGTCCATGTTCCTATAAATGTGTTTGCTTTTACTGAAGTTTGGATACTGAGCAATTTGTATGTTTTCCTGGTATGCAGAATAAGGTACAGTGTGTGAGTTGTCTGGGGAATTTGCGGTTGCCAAACTGTAAAATACAGCTCTCCCTTCCTCCTTCAGTCCACAGCCACCTTTGGGCCTGGGAGAGAGACCTCCCTTTTGGGGAGGACACTCTCCTGGGCACAGAAGAACCTGAGCCCTCAGTTCTGTTCCTATAAAAATGTGGTTATTTGTACGATCTGAAACAACTCCAGCAGAGAAGACTGAGAGGAAACAATCCCAAAATAAATAATAACCTGGTCACTAATGGTGGGGATGGTTTTTCAAGCCCTTAGTCTGAGGAAGAGCAGAGAGATGCTTTGGGGCATCTAACATCCCCAGGGAGAGCACAACTGCTGGGCACTCCTAGGCAGGCTACGGGGGGGCTGGAGGAAGGGAAATGTTTTGGTTTAATTTTTCAGAGAAGGCTGAAGTGCTTACCTCTACTGGGGAATTCTCATCATTCTACTTGAAAAATGGAGATGTTTGCCTGATCGCAGATAGGCTTCTGTCAATAGCCATGTTCGGTGACCCAGCCCATGCCCCATCCTCCTGCAGTTCACGCCTGGTAGCTTAGGAAAGCAACAGGAGCAGGTTTCTGGACTGCTTTTCTTGCGTTCCTGGCAGTACCCAGGTATATGGGGCGCTGATACATTTTACTGAGATCTAAGTTTTTCAGGAGGCAGCAAGATACGTAAGAAATGTTCAGCATGACTTTTAGTTATTTACTTACAGTACTGCAAGCTAAATATGTGACAACAGTGTCAAAAACCCAAAAGTTGGAGCCATGGTACTTTCTGATATTATTTTCCATTTTTTGCTTTGTTTGTTAAAATGTCTCCTTAGTCCACTTTTGCCACTACTGCATAAAGTAACATGCTAAATCTGACCACGGACACTGTTATGGTAGTCACTCATTGCCAACCAGGACGATGATTTCCTGTATCGTGTGTATCACGTGTATCAGCGTGCAAGCTAGCCCCACGCTGGGTGAGGACTAGCTGGCACACATTCATGGGCACACTCACTCCTGCATGCGTGCATTCAGCTCCCCACCACCCATTTACTTCTCTGCCATGCCTGTTTTCCTCTTCAAGGTAGAAACAGCTTCTTTGGATCAGCTCTGCCCCTTTTGGGCTCCTCATGCACTAAGTAAAGGCTGGGCAAGTTTTTCCACTTGTGCACAGAAGAAGCTGGGATGGCATTCTTTTGAAAGAGGGCTGCAAGGAAAATCTGTGGAACCGGTGCTCTCAGACTTGGACTTGCTTGTGCAAACACCTTAATAAAGTGTTACGCCTTCCTTTTTCCTTCCACGAAATTAAAAAAGAAATACAACCCTGTAAAAAGCACGGAACGTATCTCATTTTTGGCCCCATACACAGATGAGTGTTCTCTGATTCTAAATTCAGATTTCACTGCTAGATGATTTTTAAATAGATTTCAAATTAATTTCCTAAGTGCAGACATCTAGCCAGTCCATTTCTTTTTCCCCAGAGTTTTGGACATCTGCTAGGGAAGACTCTGCTTACACCAAAGGAAGGCTCTGAGTGGATGTCCAATTAATTTAGATTTGTCATTTCAATTTGTTCATTCGGCAGGTATATTGTAAACAAAATAGCTTAAATGAGGTCTGCTTTGGGGTTTTAAATATTTTATTTGTGCTTAGCTTTTGGGAATTGCCCCTTATATACGGCATCTGTTCAATATGACAAGGTTTTCTAGAGTTTTCATTGACTGCATATCATCTTTCCTTTAATTGAGTTAGCAAAATGTTTTGTGATCTGCATGGTTAAAAAACCCAGTGTTTAATCCTGCCACTCTCGAGATCCTTCAGTCTGCTTACATGACACTGTGAGCTGCTGATTGGCTAGCGGAGGGTCTTCGGGGTTCATCCTTTCGCTTTCATTTCAGGTCTTGGAAAAATGGCAGCCCCTAAAAGACCATATTGGACTCAGTAGGGGGCTGCTGTGGACTTCACTGGGCCAAGGATTTCCCCCAGGCAGGAAAGGGGTTGCTGAGTTGATTCCCTTGATTATAATGAGGTGCGGTGGGCTGAATTTAAGAAATAGGAAATTAAAGCTGAATGCGCTTTGGCAGAGATGGTCATCTATAGAGCTAGCTCCTGAGGGAAGTGGTAAAAGTTTGGCTCTTTAATATTATATGGGTCAAAATACTGGAGGACATGCAATAAGGACCACTTCTATAGTAACAGCAACACAGAGTAACTGGCCGCCTCATTATTGTTGTTCTGGAGTTAAAAGAAAATCCCTTCCATCTCTTTTAGTTAAGGGGCATTAGCATATGCTATAGATGGAGGTTTGGGGTTTTTTAATAGACAAAGAGGAGGTGTATATGTGTGGGCTCTGTGGTACTAGCAGAAATTCAGGCTCTGAGGACATGGGACATTAAAAGGCACGGTTTAAAGAGGCAGAAATAGGCTTTCCTCGTAAGCATATTCATCTTATTATGCTCTGTGAAGGGCTCTTTATCACCGTGCTGCCGCTGGGTCTTTCAGTGTAAATTACTCCCTTGAAGATGACCATGTTTTATGGTTTGCAGTAGGGACACAGGTTTTTTGATGTTGACCCTTGTTCACAAGGGGCTACGACACAATCACTAAGTTGTTCATGGAAATCATACTGCAGAAAATCATAGTCCCAGGAGTAATGTGCAAGTCATTTAATCCATCAAAGCACGCTACCCTCCGCAGGAGCACTCGCAGACCTGTCCCTTAATAAACCTCTGTTCTTTTTGTACAGCACTGATTTTCCTGTTTCTTTCTTGCAGTACAATAAACACCTCTTCGTACACATTGGACACGCTAACCATTCTTACAGTGACCCATTGCTTGAATCGGTGGACATTCGTCAGATTTATGACAAATTTCCTGAAAAAAAGGGCGGTCTAAAGGAACTGTTTGGGAAGGGGCCCCAAAACGCTTTCTTCCTCGTAAAATTCTGGGTGAGTAAGACATGATGTGGAGAACCTCTCTTGTCGATAAGGCCTGTGTTTAGTATGTAGCACCCTTCGGGGTGCTCGTGGAAATTTCTTCTGTCGTCATTTAAAAGTGCAAAGCTGTATATCCTTCAGGTAGGACGCTGGCCCAGAGCCACTCTTGTTGACAGCTCCACAAGAAGTCTGTGTTGCAGACGACATGCAAAGGCAGATGTGTGCCTCAACTGTGGTTGACACAGCTGCTGGGCAGGGGCAAACAGGTAACGAGAGCCCTCATTTGTAAATGGGGAACTGCCATCTAGTGGTCCAAGAAAAAACGAGGAAGCTGCAGAAATGGAGACTGCTTTTTAGTGTTTCAGATGTTGAACTCTTGCCAAATGCAAATAGTACAAGTATCAGTCCTGCGATCAGTCCACACTTATGCAGATAGGACCAAGCAGGATTTGAACCGAGTGTGCAGCAGGGCGGCTGTGAGCCTGGGAGGGTGCCAGGGTTTTTCTTAAACATTTTTTGGTTGCTAGAGCACATCTGCTTTCCCCTTGCCTTTTTGTTAGTCAGCCATGGGACTCTGCTCCAAAAGTTATATCTGTTCATATCAGTTGTGAGCAAGAGGGAAAAAAGAATTTGAAGGGAAGGCTGAGATGTTGTGTATTGATCTAGTTGTGATAAATTTCATTGATACATCAGATTTTTCTTATTGTATTTACAAAATCTCATGTTAGTGATGCTAAAGGTTCATCAAAAAGGATCATCAAATCTACAGGCTAAAGCTTTTTCTACTCATTAATTTGTTAAGGTATTTTTTGTGGTATACTCCTTTTCATAGCAACAGTTATCATCTAAGCATTTTAAATGTGTCTTCTAAAACCTCAGTGAAAGGGGCATATTCAGGGTTTAATTACAGGGTGGACAGATTGAGGCTGAAACCAGAAAAGGTTGATCTGGAATCACTGCTTATGATCAGATTTCAAAGTTTATCTGTGACCTGAAATACTCTCCAGCTTGTACATACCCCAGACTTCCTATCTTCCCAAGAGTTTCTGTGGCACCAGATTTGGGACTGGAAGCTGGGAATAAGGGAGACTCTCTTTTCTCAAATCTGGGTGTAGAAGGGATAAACCACTGAGCAGGAGCTGTGCTGGACTGCAGAAGAAATCTGTTGAGAAATTCATGGGGCTTAAAACTGGGCATGGGAGCTGTAGACAAAGCATTTGAGGGCTGGCTGAGCAAAGAGGCCTGGAACTGGGAGCTGAAACACAGCAGGCAGCAGGAGCCTGGAAAAGGCAGGTGAGAATGTAGGGTCAAAAAGAGGGAGGCAGTGGGAAGAGGGAGCATTTGGGATAAGGAGCCTGCGGGGAAACATAGGGATGAAGGCACCCAGCAGAAAACAGGTATGTGAGAACTGGGAACAGGACAAGTGTAAGGGCAGAAGAAATCTGGCTGCAGAGGAATAGAGCTTGGAGGTTAAGGATCTGTGACCACCAAATACATTTCCTTGCATTTCCTGGGGTTGAACTGAGGACTGTCATCTCACCAATCCACTTTGCATAATAAATACTTGCGAAACCCACTGGTAAGATGAATGTCACGTCACTTGCCTGTTCTCAGTTCCTACAGAGAATGACAAGCCTCAGACTTTAGATTAGACATGGAAGCAGCAGAGATTTGTGATACAGTCACTGATGTATTGCACGTTCTGCTTTTTCTCAATGTGGAAACTGATTTTCAGGCATGCTGGATGCTCAAAGATGTATCTAAAGCCAGTAGAGATCTTCTTTGGATCATTAAGGTCTGTGTTGTACTCATAACTGAAAAGTCAAGTGCCAGCCTTCTCTGCTTCATCTCCTACAAGCTGTGCACACCTTTAACACTCTTGCCTCAATTCCCCATCTGCAATATGGGGGTGATTCCATCCCTTCACCTCCGGTGGTCACTGAGAAATCAAACTCATGGCTGTTTATAAAGAACCAAGATAATGCCACAAATAAAACATTTAAAATTAATAATTCTGTGTTCAGCACAGGTTTTGAGTAGTGTGCAGGAAATAGGGACTGGGCCACACTGAATAATGAAGACAAAGAAATATTGTATAGATGCTCAGAGGGCGAGTGTGCAGTCGTGTAGCTAAAGACTGTATCACGATGCAGTTCAGCAGTCAGGATGTGCAGGCAACTTCAGTCCAACATTTCCTAACCTCACTGTGCCTTCCAACATAATGGTCTTTTATGTTGTATTAACTTAGAGATTAAAAAACGTACAGTGCTAACATCCTTCTGAGTTATATGTTAAGAATGTGGTGAGAATGCCTTCCTGAGCCATGACCTTAAAATAGGCCAGTGGATTTTCTCTCTCATCAGGTGAGTGAGGCAGAGGGAAGATACCAGGGGCAGTGTTTGGGTGTAGCGAGAGTCACGACGAATGCCCTTCTAGGAATAAACTTCAGTGTCCCCCATCTAGAAGTATGTATAGGAAAACAGAAGATGGCTGTGTAATTAGTCATGAGAATTCGATCCTAAACTGTCAGCTCACTGACCTTAATTTCTTTCACCCCAATAGGACATTTCTTCAGAAAAAAGGATGCTGTTCCCATTTTTATGGGGAGTGTTGAGAAACTGTGCTAAACAGTCATGTATTACAAGTGTAAAGCTGGCAAAGGTTGCTGACAATCTTTTTGACCCTATTAGTAACTTCAAGTTTATTAATATGAAAATAGATTAATTTTTGTATTCTTGTCCTTTTCTTTTAAATTAAGTATCCACTTCTGAATCAGTATCCATTCTCTCCTTATCATCCGCTACCTCCTCCTACTCTGAAAGTTCAACTTCTCCCAGGTTCTGTTCATGTTGCATGGTTATTGCTTACTCACAATACTCTCTCTCACCCTTTTTTTAACCATTTCCCTCTTCCCATCCTTTCTGTTGTCTTCTTCCTTCATTATCATTTAACCATCGATAGTTTGCTCAGCACCATAAGCTAGTGCATCCTAGCATCAGTGGCCAGTGGCAGTCCACATTTTGGTGGAATTTGATTGTAACGTGAGTAAAAGAGGAACATGAATTTGTGTTGGGCAAATAAGTACAGATGAGAAAGCACTGTAAGGAGAATCAACAAAATAAAACCAGGGACTACAAGTGGAAGAAGTCAAGGGAAACCAGAGAAGGAAAGAAGGCCGGTGTCGTGGTATGTGGAAGCTTGAAAGCAAAGGTGCGGATTTGATGCCAGAAGGGATGGTGAGCCTGTAAACGGATTTAAAGAGAAGTCGGCATGTCTCTGGAGGCAGCACAAAGGGTATTTTGTTTAGACATGAAATCTAGTGTGGAAGGGAAAGATGGGAAACAGGAAGACTAGAGATGAGCACTCACATTGAGGATGACTAAGGCAGAAAGTGGCTTAGCTGTGGTAGCTGGAAAGAGTACTCCTCTTGCTCTTTCCCATTTAGTTCTGCTTGAGGCTTCTCAGCAGCATGGTTTTCCCTGGGACAAAGGTGATAAGGTTTGATTACAAAAAAGTGGGAGGGAAAGGTCTGAGATCTTGCAAGAAGACATTTGGCAATTGTGGAGTTGACTTTGCAAAGCATCACAGGTATGGAGTACAAAGCGAAGTGGTGCTTTTCTTTGCAGAGGTTTATTGGTTCATACAGATTCTCTCTCCTGTGAAATACAGCCTGATGCTGGGAATGGATGAGCTTCTGGCCTCAGTCCTGGTGACACATCTGGACGTCACACTTTTGGGCCTTTTCCTACCTAACAGTGCAGGAGGCGTAAAAGGAAGAGACTTCTCCCTTTACACCACCTCAACCAACCAACCTTACAGCCCTGCAAAGCAGTTTCCTGGTCCTTGTCTTGCACCTTGAATGCAGTGATTCTTTTCTTCTGTTTATCCCAGGTAGTCACTGGGAACCAGAGAGTTCAGGGAAGTCACCCCAGAGACAGGTTTTTACAGTAATACATGGAAGGAGCTTTACTTGTTATGTTGTGCTCTCAGTAGAATGAGTAAATAAGGAACAATGTACTAACGATATGGCACAGGAAATTTGTGTGACAATGATATGAAACTGGAAATTACAGGGATATAAAATGAAAACAAAAAAAAAAGTTCTTAAATAAATGTAAAAGTTATTTCCTAGAACACTGATGAGGAATTCAGACAAGGCTGCAGAATACCTGCAGATGAAACCTTCCCCTGGGTGCAGGTTGAGTGCACAGTCCTGCGTCTGTTACCTTAGTCACTAGCAAAATAAGCCCAATCTATGTAAAACAATCAGGTATGATTCATGGCATCTAATCTTAATCTCAGTAAGGCCAACATACCTGTTGGTTAGTTTGTAAACTGTTCCTGTGACTTGAGAAAAGCCCCGAAGTTTTCTGGTCTTTGAAGTTCTGATTAGCCTATCTAAAAGCTAAGTCAACACGTATTGCCTCTATTGGTTTCTTTTATTGGTTGAAGTTCTACTCATATGGATATCTAATGCTATCCCCACTGATTACTCACTGCTATTCTTAAATTATCTAATACTAAATAACACACTTAGGCCTCCTGGAAGTGTTCAAACTAAATGATAGATTGCACCTCCAGCTTTACCCCAAAATGTCTGCCTAAAACATTATTGCTGGCCTTGCCTTCTTGGCCTGTGGTACTGATTGCCCAGCACTCTGCCTCCCCTGCTTCTCCACTTTCTCTTGCAGGAGGTTAATGGTACTTCTGTCCCACTCACACCACCTCGCTTTTGGATGGAGTATATCTCAGCCACATCTCCAACAAATACCTTTGTTTTGACTCTGCTGTTATGACCACATACATCTCCATTGACTCCAGCAAGGGAATTGCTCTAGGAAGGCACAGCTCTGGACCTCCCTTTACGCCCCTGCTAGCTTTGCTAGCTCTGTAACTTGCCCTGTCTAGCGGTAGTTCATCCGGCAAACACTTTTCACTACTAGGAGCACCTTTACTGTTAATGCAGCAGTGCCTTATCTGTCCTCTGCAGCCTAGACTAAATTCTTCTGGTC